TTTTTTTCTCTCTCTATTTTTGGAACTCTGAATTTATTCGACGAAATGGCTGCCTTTTTGATTTGATCGCACAAAAAATATCTCGTTGAAGAACGCACAGATAGTCATGTGTAACATTCTATTCATCCCATACCATTCCCATTGTATGAATTATAATTGTACATTTCCATATAGAATATGACAATCTGTTGGTCGATCAATTCACTCACATCTGGGGTTTGTATTCATTCCCGAAATTTCTCTTAAATCGAAAACCATCTAAAAGTCACAACAATATTTTCGAAGAAAAAAATATCCAATTATCCAGTTCAATTTACATACACTACTTTTTTCGGTTGAATAAAAAAGATGGATATCCGATAGTTGGCTGTTCAATATTAATTTCGTTTTTCGAACACGGTTGTTATGATTTTCCACTTGATCGAATTGTCACACAACACAGAATCAATTTTGTGGTTTCAGCATATCGTTGAATTTGAGGCCCGAAGTTTACCCAATTTTCCATTTCAACTGAATCCTCCATAAATATAATAAAAAATGCAAATGACCAATAAACTGTTTGCTCTTGCTGTGCCATTATTAAAATTATCGAATAATCGATTGAGTATTGGGTGACAGACAGCCAGCACATACAAAGCACGAGGCACAGTTTATTGTTGTGTCATCACATTTTGGGAAATAAAAGATAACCAAATGGCATATTATTTTGTATCGCAACCTGTCACATACACAAACAAAATGTATCCAATCGGTTTATATCCACTTCGTTCGATGGACATTTTAACTACTCAGAATGCCACTCAAATCAATATCATCATCATCATCATTTTTGTATGTTTCATGAAATGTCAAGAGAAATTTTTCACTTGGAAAAGTCACAAGTAAAATGTTCCGTAACAATCGAAAGTGTTTGTTTATCAACGAATTTTCTTTTCAAAAAAAAAAAAAATAATTGAGAAAAATAACAGGTAGTTGAAGTGCGGTAGCTAACGACATAAACAAAAATAAAAACAATTGATCAGAGAATACTGTCTAATCGCTTCCGTGGAATCAGTTTGTCTCGCCCTCGCGCTCACAAATGCTGCAAATGATGGAAAAATTTGATTAGCAAAAAAGGCGATTGTTTTTTTCTTTGTGTAACCACGATAACTGGATTGACAATTTTCTGCCGCATTTGTCAGTGACAAGGAATTCATTTCGAACATTGTTTTTGTATTTCGGAACGAAAAAAAAAGTTCAACAAAAAAAATTCACGGACCAATCTGTCATTTGGATGTTGTTGCTTGGCTCTGTGGTAATCGCATGGCATTTCGTTCGAATCGGCTGGCCCTTTTCAATTCGCATTGATTGCTTTTTGGCTGCCCCAAATTATTGACTAGTTGCGATTTGTTCTTCGATTTGGTTATCGCTGGAAACCATATAAATTGATTTTTATGCTTCATATGATTTAAATCAATTGTGTGCATATATGAGCCTTTGATGTATTTCGATTTTTTGTAAAACTGATTCCAGGAGTGAACACGCTCGGAATGTAAATCGGTTAGTACGAGTCCGATTGATGCGGAACGCCATCACAGCTAGTTACATGGATGATATTAGAAAACCGTCCGAAAATCAATGAGGCGACAACATGCACACGTAATACATTTATTAAAAGTGCCAATGGCCAATCGAAATATGGAGAAAATGAATTCAATGCTTTCTCGGCATTGTCAGTTCCATCGATTTCCATTTTCATGCATGGGCAAAATTATCTCATTATTTTCAATTTTATAATTTTTCATCAACAACAAAAAGGATTCAATTTGTGAATGATGTTTATCTCGGATTTATGGAACCGAAAATAAAAATCGAGAGGCCAAAGCACAAAGGAGAAGACATAAAAACCAGTCGATTTTGGTTTTGGACACACAATTATGATACCAGATATATAATTTTATTGGAAGGATTTCTGGTTGCGGTAAACACAACAACAACGAGCACAACGGCACAAAACTATCAACCTAGGAAATCTGCTAAAAACAATCAGGAAGATGCATAAAAAGGCCCAAATCACATTGAATCCACACAACAAATGTATGTATTATTGCCGATGGACATGACGACACAACAAACATACCATCGAGCCCATAGAAATCCATTTTTGAAGATACTGAACAGTAAGCACATTGCAAGACAATTACATTTGACTTGTTTTTTTCTGCTCTCTTTCTCTCTCCCTCTATCTCCTTCTCTCTCTCTCTCTCTCTCTCTCTCTCTCTCTTTCTCTCTCTTTCTCTTTTCACTCGACCGAATTATTGAATTCAATGGAGCAAACACAATGGAGATAACACTGAAGTATAAAACAACCATCAATCGAAATTGTGAATACACACGTCTCACAATCGTCAAATCGCTCGAATCACGGAGCAATGGATGGTGAGCGCGCGTAATATGAGCCTTACATTGCGTACGTACATTCGTTTGCCCCATCGAAGAGTTTGCATTATGTTGGATTTGAGAGCGCCGAGTGTAGATAAATGGGTGCCTGTGATGGATTTGTGCGGCAATCGACCTGGGTCTACCGTACACAAATGCACATCGAAAATGGTTTCCATTAAATTCAAGTCAACCGATTATGGACTGAAAACAATTTAAAAGAAGGGTTAATCGAAATGTGAGATCTAAGGTCGTCTAACAGTCATTTTGAATATTTTTGTCCTTCTTGTATGGGTAATGTGTATGTGTGTGATGAGTTCGTGCGTTCTTATTTTATGCGAATTATCGTGTGCACGACACACATTGAATGAGAGAGAGAGAGAGAAACAGGGTGAATACCCATTGTGTTGCGTTGCTTTGTACTTAATAATCGACTGAGTTCGGACGGTTGGAATTGTTGCGTACAGGCCATTTGAGATGAGCGCTCGGTTGTTGCACGTGACATTCGGATTCAGATTCGCATACACAACCGCTTGTGATTGTATTAGAGCACAAAACAAATCTTGATTGACCTGCTCTGTGCATTCAACACTCCAAATTATGTGTGAGCATTACGAATTCGTTTGTGTCCTTTGCGAATTCGCAACGATGATTTTCAATTACCGTGTTCATGGAAAACATTTTCGTTTTATCTTCACCATTTTACAGCATAAAGTTTGAGATCGTTCGTGATTTCATCCACCAAAATCATCATAACCCTCAAGATATTTGGTGATTTGAGCAATGGTGTTTAGTTACAAAACATCTTCGAGACGAAAGTGAGGAGAGGAGCAGGGAAATGCAGAGATATAGAGAGAAATATAGAATGAAACAGTCATATCTAATTTGCAAAATCAATAAAATGATCGCTAAAGTGGTACATAGCTTGTATGATGCTAGTATTCAACATACACGGGCTAGTACACTGGTTTGGTTCCGTTTACCTCGGATTAATGAAAATGTCTTCACCAGGCTACCTAAATCACATTCAAACCCATTCACGCACCAGAGTTTATTATTGTAGAAGAAGAAACTGCAATAGACACAATCACGGCGCTTCTTTGCATGCTCGAATCGGCGTTGTGTTCACCAGATTGCTTCCCTCCTAAAATGTGATTCATAATTGGTGTGGTTTTGTTAGATAATGATTGCAATAGCTACAAAGTAAACGAAGTTGATTCTTTTGTGAGAATGAGGCAATGAGGCAGAGAAACGGACGCGCCAAAGTAATTCAATCCGCTAGATATAATTTTTCATCGCATTCAATTCTCTCATCTTTCGTTTCGTTTGATACTTGGGTCGGTTACCATTGACAACAGTGCAGAAAATGGGAGCACAGGCGAAATTGCATCATTGTTCACTGACCGAAGCATAATGAAAAATGGCTGCCAAACGAAAGCAAAAAAAAGGATCGAGCCGACGATGAAGCGAACAATGTTTCTTTGAACGGACAAAGCGGTTATCATTCGTTTAGTACACGTGCTTTGAAGCTGTACATGATATTTAAATATATGAATGAACACGTGCGTTAGTTTGTTTCGCTACATTCATTTCAATTATATAATTTTCCAAACCAATTCAGCCCGGGCTAGAATAGTGCATTTCTCGGTGTGTTCATATATCATTTAAATTGAAATGTCACTGTCACTGTCACTACTCCAAACACTGGTCAAACTGAAAACAGATTTACAAAGTCCAATTTGCATATTTGAATTTCTGAAACATAAATAAATGCAGCGATGCGCAATAGGGAAAATGGGATTGGAACCAAAATTGAATTGCATAACTCTAAGGCTATATTTTTGGCGATTGTGTTTGCGTTGGCAGAAAACAAAACAACACCAGGGACACCAACAAAAACAAAAATGGCATGTTGATTGATTTTCCTGACATCGTGGTTAAAGGTCAACCGATAACATAACTCAGCAGTTGCATTACACACCCACACTGGAATTTCATGCGCCCAATTTGGCTGACCGATTCGTTTCCGTCGAAGTAAATAATCAACTGTGCATTTGCTTCACCATTTTCGATTGATGTTAGTTGTATGGGTGCTGTTGCAAGCGAACGATTCGATTGATATGTACATGTATAGAAGAAATGAAGGAAAAGGAATATCGTTCGTCACATGAATGAAACACGTGCTTTCATTTAAAGCACCACTTACAGAAAAATAACGACAACATCGTTCCGCTCGTTCGAAAACACACTTCAAATGGAAAGCTTTCAACATTCCATTTAAACTGCGCCATTTCCTTAAACATAAAAGAGAATTGATACACACGATGACTGTTTTTCACATAGATATTCAGTTGTTGATTTTGTTTCTTGTTCCAAACGAGAATAAGAGAAGATAAAAAGGCGAATGCATTCTATTGAAATCCCGATTCTAATATAGTTGTTCTTTAGCTCATACATTTCTATCGCTGTATAGAATATTCCTCTCATAAATTTGATGAAATATTTTTTTTCTCTTTATACTTTTCTGAGAAGAAGAAGAAGAAGAAAGAAAAATGTATATACATAGAAAAAATTGCACTTACCAATCTCGAGCTCAGCAGCAAATATTACAAGCGCCCAAAGCAAGATGGGTGCTCGTTGCGAGTGATGATTCCTAGTATACATGTTGTGCAATGAGATTTGTGATGAATATCGATTAAAATTGATAGATGTTCCCATGCGATGAATTGCTTCTGATTGTTTTTCTTCGTTCGTTCGCCTTCTTCTCGGTTCACTGTGTCTTTTTTAATCTGTTACACTTTCGTGTAAGTGATTACGTATGAGTTATGGAATTGTCCAAAAAAAAATGGAGTATTCGTCAATTTTCAAGCTTGAAATATTTTCAGTGTAGATGGCTTTGATTGGACAGGTTGCTATTTTCCACTGCACTTAAGTCAAAACGTTTCCAAGAGCCTCAGAACGTTCAATTTCAGTTGTATGCAAATTTCACTTTCAGTCCAATTTTTTTTTTTTTTCGTCAAACAGTAAATTCGATTTTTCTATTTTCGAAGCTATTCTGGTTTTAAAGATTCGATTTTTTTTTCATTCACTCGATGCAGTTGCAATGCTTTCGTCTCGCTTATCTGCAAATAGAAGAAGGGGAAAAAAATGTGAAGGTAATGATGAAAATGCTACATTTTCGATTTTGTAAAACGCATTTCGCTCTTAGCAGCAACCTCAAATAAGAACCAACATAACACATAATAAATTGTGAACATTCACACAAAATCAAACATCAAGAAATATATGAGTGTACTCTCGTTTCTCGGGCGCAATAAACGATTTCGTATTTGAATTTCGTTTCGTTTCTTTTCAGTTTCTCTTCGCTTTTGCCAGTGCTTCTCCATCAAAGAAGAAAAAAAAAAGAAATAAAACTAAATAGAGCACATTTTATTGATATGAATTTAAAGAAAACACATAGAAGTTGGCTCCAAAAACCAACACGAGAAAAGAAATGTCAAGGATATTTTTCTTTCCATTTTATTTCCCCTTAAAGTAAACCAGTTCGAACCATAATCGTACATATTACGGGTTCATACTGACAAAAAAAGCGAGAAATCCCGAAAACGGCTAAAGAAGATTTTGTGTCTGTGTCTGTGTATGTTGGATTTTGATTCATATAATCTTGATATATGATGATGTGATATTATGGCATTAAAAACTATTTGCTGCAGGAAATAGAAATGCAGCTTTCTTATTTTTGTCTCTCTCTCTCTCTCTTTATCCCATTTTATGCAGACTATTTCCTCTTGCTTGTCATACAATTTCTTGAAAATCGATGTTTTGTCGTTGTCGTCGGCAACGTTGCTCGTCGGCTGTGACGCTATTACACAAATACATATCTTTTTCCTTGCACCGCACCAAATTACATGCAAAGAAATCATAACAAATTGGAAACAGCGGCAGCAGCAGCAGCAGCACCAGCGCATATGTTCCAGCGAACATGGATAATTGAAGGTGATCGAAGCACTTCGCTCTATTTAATTAACATACTTTGTTTTATTTAGCGGAATTTGTGATTTCAGGAACAGAGGGATATTCACCAGTGACTGCTTTTAATATGTATGCGTTTTCAGAGTTGCAACACTATACGCATTACTCACACAAGTGAATCGCATAGCATTGCACGTCGTGTGCGAGGAATAACTTCACACAACAACCTAAACACCACTACAACTACAGGGTGGCCAGATTTTCATGTAAGGTTTTAATATCCACCCTTCATTTCCTCGCAGAATTAAATGCTATGTGATCGTTGTAAAACGGTAAGCTTGAGTGAGTTTATAACATAATGCCGAAAATGTATCAAATTCTCGACGGCAAAACAAACTCAAATTCCATTATTAATCTCAGCGTCGGATCCGAGCAACAATTAACAGCGTAACAGTACAATTTACACTCGATTCGGTTCGGTTCGGCTGCTATGCATTTTGAATGCGATGAAGCGAGAGTTGAAATGAAAATTATCGCGTCATTATTATCTGCTTTCGAGATAAATATTCTCGTTTTTCATATTCAATTGAAAGTATTGTTCGAAAGAGTCGACGGTATATTAATTGGAATAAATTATGCAAGCGAAAGTTGTTGCTCTCTAGGGATATACTAATATCTTTGTTGGCGTTTTTTATAATGGTTTTTTATCGTTTTGGGCCGTTGGGAAGATCTATTCGATACGTGCCAAATTGTAGGTCGTATCGAGAGAAAGTTTCCCGCACAAACAATGTGTTGTTATTCGAATTTCACATTTTCCATATAAAATTCCAATGAAAAGCACATTTTTCAATCGTAGCCCCAAATTTAGCGCCGTAAGGAAAGCAACACGATGAAGACGATTACATACGATGTAGACAAGAGCACACCAATTTATATGATAACCATATTTTTCATGAAGCAGTCAAATTAATTTCAACACAAGAGTTTGCTCATTCTAACCGGGTGCCGTTTTCAATATTTGCACAAAAAAAATATCGCATTCGGTTGGCCGACTTTGTGCAGAGGTAGAAGCATTTCATTCAAAAGTGGTAAGCCGGTTGGCGTGATTGTGGCTTAACGAATATGATTTATTTAATTGTGTAAAAGTTGAGCAAAAATTATTGAAATACTGCCAACATAATTCCATGTTTAGCCACACAGACATTTCATGGAAATGAAATGAACATTAATTAATTTTACCATATTTAGCGCCGATTTAGTGGCTTATAAATAAAATGCTCAATCCATTTAAATGCAATTCAAAATGCCACTTTATGAAGAAAAAAAACACAAATGGAACATCGGACTAGCACTAGCACCGGACCAAAGGGTAAAAAGCGTATTGTAGGCAGCAATTTACTTGTTTGAATTTTCGTGCTAGCTTTGTTTTGATGGATTTAAAAGGAAATCAATGACGACACATGGAAAAACTGAATGGACACAGTGCATACAGTAGGAAAAAAAGAAGAAGAAAAGTCCAAGGTTCCACAAATACTTAGCAGCGAAAAGGAAAAATAAAATAATTTATTGCTTTCATGGATGGCGCCGAAGGATGAGAGGAAAGCCATATATACATATATACGGACCCGACCACTTTAAATGCGAATGGAATCAGTTTGCCATCTAAAATCATGATTTATTTTCACCACTTAATTTCAGTTGCATATACAACGTAAATCACATTGTTCGGTGTTGCCGTTTTACTTTCGAACCAAAATGAAAAATACAGTGCGCACCGTCGCGCACCAATTCAGCTCGGCACATACATAATTTAGCGTGCGCGCCACGCTGCGTCGCATCTCACCGGCCAAGGGATTTCTTCATTACCAGCAATCGTGAGCAATTTTACATATTCGTGCAGTCTGTACTGTTGCCGATTCTTTTCCATTTTTCTTCGTTCATTGCACCGCACAACGTGCTGCTTTGTCCACTTTTTTCCCTTTCTCTCTCACTCGCTCAGTGCTCAGTTCACAATTAATTGTTCGCATTAATTTTCATAAGCAAATATATCTACAGAAATGTGATAAATGGCTTTGCATGTGAGTTCGATGTAGATTTTGGTTAATTGTTTAAAGTTGAAGATTTTTTTTGATGGACATAAATGATACATTGTGAAAATGTGTGGTCTTATAGCAGTGCGCGAAAGCTGATTAAAATGACATGAGCTACTTGACTGGAATGAAAGCGGAGTGGCAAGTTGACGCCCAGTGCCCGTAAACTCGAACGAACAATATTTTAGAGAATCGAGTCGCCAGGGGAATGCCGAATCAGACGGCAAAAAGATGTGCTGCAATTTGCATGTTGCAATTTAGTGGGAAAATTGGCGTACCGAACTCATCTTTCTTAATTTTGGCAGCGACTTTACAGCTCACTAAAATTTAATCGTTCAACCACATGCACACCAATCCTTCTGTTTGCAGGCAAAAACACTTTGGGCGACTTTTATGATCACACAAGGGAGGCAGACATAGAAAAAAACCCACACACTCTCACACATACATTCACACAGAGAACGAGTGGAACAAAGAGAAAGAGAGAGCGCGCGCGCGAGTGAGCGGATTAAAGAAACAGCAGCAACTTGTCCTGAGATTTCAAGTAAGTGATTCCTCCCAAGTGCATGTATGCACGCGGGCGCTACTTTCAAATTGGAGTAAATCTTCTTCGCTTGTCTATTCGTCACGTACAACTACAATTGCATTGGTGCATTGCTTGGAATATTCGTATCATAAGAGAATGATTGAATGCACGGTTGCCTTTGTTTTCTGCTCGACAGTTATGCACGATATATATACCCGAGATATGCAATTTTTAGACAATGAGTGCTAGAAATGTTAATTGCTTCTTTCATTGCAACTACTTTCATTTCGCAGCTTATTCATTATTCAAGATTTTCCGTAGAAAGAGAAAAAAAAACAACGACTTTTATAACTGCAATTCTGTCAATTTTCCAAACGAGGGGAGCGCAATGAAAAGCAGAAATCGGGTCATGAATTCCACGCTCTCTCTCTCTCTCTCTGTCTCTCTTTCCCTCCACCAACAAATTCTCAATCAACAAATTATGACGTGCATATTCAAATGGAATGAATGCCAAATGCATGTTTTGTGCGTGCGTATCACGAACACTGTAATAAATTAATATTTTTCAGCTTTTCACATAATTTTCTTCCTTTCTTTATCCATTTGCTGTCCATTGATGTGATGATTTCCATCTGCTGAAGTGTATAAAAAATGGAAGTGAAATGATGAAATCATAAACTGGCTTAAATGAAACTGTAAACAAGACAGAAGGCGGCACAAATCTTTCGAACAGAATAAAATAGGAAACTAAATTGAATGGCAACCAACGAATGACACAGAAGATTCGAGGCAGATAGGCAGAAAGAGAAGGAGACGACGACGAAGGTGTAGAGTAAACTAATTCGTTTGTTTGAAATGATGTTGAATTGCTAACGAATTACCGTTCTACGTGTTTCAATTCTTGATGTTTACCATTTTCCATTCGTCACCATTCGTTTCGGTCAAGAAAGGATTTTCTCTAAAATTAGATTGGATCAACAACAATAACAATTTGTTAAGGTATTGCAACCGAATCCGAAAGCTCTGACAAGCGTATCGCGATGCGATGTGAATTTAGTTTCAATTTCTGTAACTTTTTTTACACAATTTAATTTCGCTTATATTGTTTTGAATGAAATTTTTATTTGTTCATTGGGTTCGAGATTTTCCACCGGTTTACTACAACAGTACGATTGTCGTGATGGCACCATGACGGCAAACCCTATCTTTCTGTGTCTCTTGCGTTCTGGGAGAGAGATAGAGAGAGTACGATGGATTGACAAATGGAAGACACAGACCTAAAATGCAGGTTACGCTCAAATTAGCATCTTATTTCCATACCAATGTAAGAGATTTATCTCAATATGCACGCGCCACAACGGAACAACCAGACCGAACACCTTAACATTCAGCCACCTCTCACACAGTACGCCCGAATATATATGTACGGTGAAATAAGTTGTCAGCCATTGTTGAAAAACTTATTGCACTTGCAATTTATTCACGATTATATTGCCATTCATATTTGCTGGCATTAAATTTATTTCATTTTCTC